GAGTGGTGGTAGAACGGACAGATCCAAGTGTGACAAAGTATTCTAGCTTGCTGCATTTGCAAGGGTCGAGCAGAGTGGTGGTAGAACGGACAGATCCAAGTGTGACAACGTACTCTAGCTTGCTGCATGTCATCTTTTCTGAGTTCTTGGACTTTATATACTTGAATACTTTGTTCTTGTTTAGCACTAGCACTGTTCATGAACCTGAAGAAGTGGATTACAATCCATGGGCATTCACAATGAAACAAATTCATTAGTCTAAAAGAGGTCACACCCCTTTGCTTCTGAGGTGCTTCTTGCTGAAGCACACAAAAATGACTAATTCTCTGAAAACAATATCTTGTGTTCAATCTCTATTTCTAATGCTTCTATCTATATTCTGTCATCTTTGATCACATGGCTGTGATCCCACTGTATATTGAAAACTGACTTTCCAATAGGTATGGAATTCTCATATTTCTCTCCCCTCCTCTTCAAATCTCACCACCAATACCACCGGTTCCAATCCTTATGATATCCAAATGTAAACAGCCTTAAATATGTGCCTTTGATAGCACTCAACCCTGCTAGGGATGGAAGTTTTGAATTTTTTTACTCTTATCTTCCAAAATTCTCCAGGAATTCTGGGAGATGCAGCTGAAATAGGCATCTCATTGCCCATTAGACTGAATAGCGGGTTCCCCCCACAAAAAAAAATACCCCTCCCAGGAAGCACCACAACAGTTTCCTTGTTTTAGAACAGAGAACCAATCTGAAGGAGACATCCATGGAGATAAGAAATATTGGTTTGCAGACTTCTGATTTTGGATTGCATCTCACAGAATTCTGCCTGGGGAATTCCCAGAGAATTCTAGGAACTCAGAATCCAAGAGAAATCCAGACATCTCATCCCTATTTGTTACTTTCCTCTTACTTTCTCAGTTTCCAGATTTTGGGCTCCAAAACACCTGTGTCCATGGTGACGTATGTCCGCTAAATCAGTGGTCCCCAACCTTGGGCCTCCAGACTGAGAATCCAAGAGAAATCCAGACATCTCATGCCTATTTGTTACTTTCCTCTTACTTGCTCAGGTTCCAGATTTTGAGCTCCAAAACACCTGTGTCCATGGTGATGTATGTCCGCTAAATAACTGTTCAAGAGACTTATAAACAAAAGTGCAAGAACTATCTGAAAACAACAAACTAGGAAAACAGCAAAGCCAAGAAAACATTCGAGTTAATGGAAACAAGTCTTTATTAACTAACTTTTAATATCAGAAAAATAAAACTCTTATAATTCTCTTTACAGCAAATATATAATATCAGTGCTTTGGCCATCATAAGTTAAAGGCCCTTTATCATAAAATATATGTTTTTTTTAAACTTTACTCAAATTGAATTTATAATCCCTATAACCTCCCTACATATACATAACAAAAAGAGTGTAGTAAAATTAGCAAATACTAAACTATACTGAGCGCTTTGTCATTCTTGAGTCTGTGGTTTATAGAAACAGTACACGCACCTAAAGTATGTTGACTCCTTGGCTTATTAGTTGCAGTGTACAATGCAAGAGAATACAAAATACATGCTTGGTGAATGAGATTGTTCATATCTACAAGACTGCAGCTAAAGATTAAGATTTCAATACTGACATTTAAACTATCCTACAAGCTGTTGGCATTAAAGTTATGTATCTCATAATGTAATAATAATAATAGTAATAATAATATGCCATCAAGGCAACTTTTATACTGAAAAAAAATCATAAAATAAAAACCGTTATCTGTAAACTTTTTTATACGAAATGTAACTCTTTCAAGTGAAAATAAAAAATAAAGATTTCTGTATATTTACTAGTTCAATACACATAGAATTTGCTATATTGAGAAAAAGTCTGTTGTAGGTTGGGAAAATATTGCTCAAAACAAAACAAAAAAGATTGACAAAGGAAGAGAGAGAGAAGTAAAAAAATAAAGAAATCCATCAGAACTTCTGAGTGTTTTTTTTTTCAAATGCCAGCACAGATTTGGGAACATTCTGAGGATGAAGTAGTGAAATACATCCACAGGTTGAAATGTAAAGAAAACAGAGAGAATGAAGAAAGAGAGAATCTAGTTTTTTCCTTGAGACAGGGACATGTGGTTTTGAAATGAGATAAACCGCTTTTTGCTGGGTCACAGTCACTGCTGCTTTCATGAATGATATAAGAGAGTGGATGCAACTCCTCCCCCCTTATGTTACTAAAAATAAAAACACATGCTTCACATAATGTGCAAGTACAGCTGAAACATAAAAATGATTCACATTTTTGAACTCTGATATTCTCTAAAATACTTAATTTAAGAACAGCTTGATCAAGCTAGCCAGTGGAATGTTATCTTCCTTGCTATCAGATATAATGGGTGCAAAAACCGGACAACTGTCCCCTATCTGATGTATGCCCCCCTTCACCGCTAGAGCAGATGGAAGAGTGAACACACAGTAGACTGCAATTGTTATGGAAACACCACAGCTTTTAACAACATGAATTCTATGTGTGGTCTGATGCACACATGGCACCCCATCACTCCCCTCCCCCCACCCAAGGGTTCCCTTCCTTTTCACAAATGGAGTCCATCTAGAAAAGAGCAACATGTAAGATCGGTGCCCTTCCTTGAAATGCATGGGGAAGCCACTACCAGCAGTGAAAGTCTTGTACATGCACTGGAGCTCCTGTCTCTGTAGCATTGATCAAGGTAAGGCAGAATTTCTTACACCTACAGTAATGGAAGACCTGCACATTCCTGATTCTCTTAAGATGCTCCATTTGCATATGGGATGAGAAGGTGGTCAGTTCATGCCATCTTGTCCCCCTGCCCCATGTCCCCTATGAACAATGATCTTGTTAATAAAAATTGCCACTATGCTACTCACTGAATGCTAGGAAATTAATCTGCATCACAAAAATTAATTGCAACATTAGATAAGCTAAGCTTATGTTGTAAAGGGGAGGGGGAAGTGCCCCCAAACCTGTTTTGAAAAACTGGCAGTGTAAAGAAGGCAGCATTGGAAGTGTGTTTGATACATTGATAATCCTTTTGTACCCTTCCCCCTTAACTGACAGTTTCTGCATTTAGGGCTGTACCAGGCTTTTCACTTTTTATTACCAACAATGCATAGCCAACATTTATCTGAAAGCCTATGAGCACTCATACTCTCTCCTGTCCTGAAACTAATCTTAAGTTCCTGACATTTCTTCCACATTACAGCTTTGATTCCAGAAGAATTTTGCTACAGGTGCCATAGCTGCAACCAAAATGGAGGAAGATTGGCTAGGCTGTGTTAATTTGTACAAGCCTTTTTGAAAATAGTACATGCCTTTCAAACAAGGTTAGCCTAATCTCAAGAAAGCCCAATAACAGTCTGAGTTCATTATAAGTTTACTTAGGGGGTACCATTACATCCAAGCCATTAAGAGTTTAAAAAGTCCATATATAATATCTCTATATATTTAAGAGTGAATTTGAATTGCCTGAGTAACAGCTGTCTGGCAAACTGGACATGATGGTGCTTCTTTTTCACAGATTTTGTTGGCACATTCCATGCAAAACAGGTTGTGGCCACATGGAACCAGGGCAGCAATTACTTCATTCTCAAAGCATATCACGCAGTCGTGCTTCCGTCTCAACTCTGGAGGAGAACTAGACGTGGAGCCACCGTTGGAAGAAGAGTAGCTGTTGGTACCATTTGAAAAAGCAGGGATGTAGACTGGAAGGCCAACTTGCCCAACTGTACTAGGTGGGTCACTTCTCACTCTCCGTGCTAGTGGATGTTCTAAGGTTTCAGGAAATGTAGGTGAGAGGCGAGGAGTGGAGGGCTGACTCCCTCTCCGTGGAGCCTTTGTGTTACTAGCTGGTTCACTACTAAACGTGGAGAGCGGGTTCACGGGTTCAAATGGTGTCCAGATGGTTTGTGAAGGTGTCGGCAAGGAGTCGTACGCAGGAGAGTCGACTGCGAGATCCTCTGCACCCACAGAAGGCAATGTTTCGCCAAACCAAAAATTGCCTGTGCTGAATGGACTTGTTGGGCTGAAATCAGCCAATCTATTGCTGCCAAAATAGGAATCAGTAGAGCCACTTCCTAGAGAACTGGAACTGTCATTTCTGTAATTAGAAATCATTCTGGTGCGGCTTGGAGGAGGCACTGGGTTGGAAGTAAGCCAGGCAGATCCCAAGTTTCCCCCTTCAAAACTCACGTCTGTACCATTATAATGGAAATCATTTTCTTCATTCAGTTCAATGTAGTTTCCAGTGCGCATGGCAATATGCATTTCTATCTCTTCACGGGCACGATCTACGTTTTCAGGCATGCCGGTAACTTCAAAGACTGGCTCCTTGTCTCTACTGGGAGTAACTATGTAGGTATGGGTCTGCTGCTGAATCCTTTTGATTGTAGCGCCTTTCGGACCAACCACCAGCCCGACAACACGGTAAGGCACCCTGACTTGGACTGTTGTTTGGCCTGGCAGATTGGGGTTACAAGGCAGCCCTCCCAGAGCAGGGCCATTTTTGTTGCGTGAAGCTCTTATCATGGAGAAGTGTTCAGCAGCAGAAAGAATTTCCCTTTTAGCCATGGCTACATCTTCCTTGCGTCCAGTAACAACAAAAATGGGTTCTTCTCCACGGACAGGGGTCTTGATGTATGTATTCGTCTTGGCTCTCAGTGCCTTTATTTTGCAACCTGAACAGAGAAAACATGCAAACACAAAAGAGAGATGTAAAGAATTTTGAAGTGAAAAAACCGGAGGAAACACTTAGCCTCTAAATTATCTTGTTCTGCTACTGCATTCCCCAGCACACTCTGATCAGTGAAACAGAAATCCTTTGTTTAACAAATCATGTCACCATACTCAGACCAACTGTTCATCAAATAATAATGGTGCTTCTGAAACCACGCTGAAAGTCTGTGTTAGTCTCTTTCAGTTTGAAATATATAAACGACTCAGCTTTTTAAAAACATTACTACCAACTCACAGGCCAGTCGGTATTTATAAACTTCTTTCAATTTACTTCATTTAAGAGAGCAAAAGTTTTACCTGCTACATTTTTCTAAAGATCTCAGAATAAGTTCTGAGCTGCTTCACAACATCAAGCGAGTTGAAAAAATTAGGGCAGGGGGCAAAGGACAAAATGTGGTGAAACCTTGAAGATTAATAGATCAAAATCTGCTCCTACTGCACAGAGAATGCTCATAACTACACCCTATGTATTTATACATATATCCATGCTGTGGGGGGGCATGATCAAGTGAGGAAACAGACAAAGTGACAATGCCACAGCTGGGGTGATTGTGTGTCTGCAAAGTCAGTTTGGCTGCTTTAGAAATGCTAAGAGTTTTTTTTTAAGCATAAAGTCAGTGGATGTCCAGGGTGACATTTATTTTAACCTATGTTACCAACAACTGACTTATTAATGTATATAGGAATCCACACAACTGAAACTTACATTTTCATTTCAGTCCTTCCCAAATAATTTGTTAATTTTAAAACACTTATGAATACATTTTAATACTCATCCTCATATGATTAAGGACAGGGAAGTCATGTGGATGTTTCTCACTGGAAAAGATTATGTTTTTCATTTTTAAATTTTATTTTAAAAATTAAATCTACAACAAAATTAATTTAAAACTTATACAGTAAGATACATCATAAATTAAGAGCAACATAAGCTAACAAAATCACATATGACCTAGCAACAAAAATGCACGCCAACCAACATTTCTTAAGCTCCTTGCATGATTTCAGAATAGATAAAGGACAAAACAATACAGTTCATAGAGGGTCAACTCCATCCCTGCAGCACCTTGTTTCTTGTGGAAGGCAGGAGTGCTCATATACTGTATAAGATAGAAGCTGAAGTAGAGGTGACAGTTAATCTTAAATGACAGAATTATGGGAATGTTCCATTTTATCAATCAGAAGATTAAAAAGGCCAGAACTGTATGGCTGGGATTGTATTTAGGTTCTCATGCTGCTCTAGGTAGAAACCACTAAAATCAATGGTATTCAATGGTTAGTAAAAAAAAAATCAATGGTTAATAAAATGGACAAACATGTCCTGCTGTTTTTATGAGACTACTTTAAGCTTCAGTGTAAGTTTGCCCCAATTCATCCAAGCAAAGGTGGGGAGTGGGAAATAAAGTCTTCCAGCATGGACTGACTCATCAACAATAATCAGTAATGCAAGAAAAATAAAGTTTAGACAGTTTAATGGTGCATTAAAACAAAAGGCCCATCAGCTATCTTTGATAATCTTGAGACTTTACTTTCATTAGGAGCTAGAAAAATTACGAATTCCTATATACTGAGTAAGTATTGATACAAAAAATGAGCTAGGAGAGTATCTTTTCAAAGAGAATCATATTTTCAACTATATTTAAGGTATAATATATAAAATTAGGAAGTGTTTTGTACAATGAAATATCTTTTTCAAAGCTGGTCAAGCCTTGCACTATACAGAAACCTGCATAAGACTGAATAATCAGATTGAAGACTTGGATATTTTAAATTACAATGACCTTGTAAAGGACTATGCTATTAACAGACAGGTTTAATTTGAACAATTTTCCAATTACAGATTGCTAAAGATTACCACCTAAAATATAAAGAGACTCAAAAACTGATGGAAGAAAGGAAAGGCAAAAATGCAAGGTACACAAACTAGATGGAATAATTATTGTGGGTGACAACAGGATGGACTTGAATTAAGCGGCTATTTCAAAAGACTCAATTTAAATAGGAGCAGCCAGAATCCTGTTAGCTATGTCTACTGGCATAACTCTACTAGCCTGAATTTCAGCAGTGAATTAAAGCAAGCTAACATAGCATAGGTATGTGCTACCATATAGTAGTAACATTCAATTCTAGAGATAGCAGCCTGCAAAAGGTCAATGAACTCTACCCAGCCACAAGAATCAGTGATCACTACACACAAAAGACCAGCGAACAAAACCCATCAATCACTGTGACAGATCATCTCCTTATCACAATACACCCACAACAAAAACACACTGATCACCATAATCACCCATCTCCTGAAAAGGACAAAAGCTGATCCGACAGCTATAAATACTCTACTCCCAAACAAACTGCACCAAAGCACAGAGTGCTACTCTTGTCCTCTGAAGATGCTGGACACAGAGACTGGCGAAACGTTAAGAAGAACAACCTTCAGAACATGGCCAAAAAGCCCGAAAAACCCACAACAAGCACTAGAGATAGCAGTTTGGCGTGGTTGGCTGCATCGGGTCCACAGGTATTGTGCAGGCACCCCAGGTTTTGCACCCTGTTCTCCTCCTGTAGATGCCTATTCAGAGGAGGAAGAACAGCAGGGAAGCCCCAGGTGCTGCTCCTGACAGGGTGACTGCAGGATGAGGTTGGGTGCAGAATCCCGGGCGCCCACACAACACCTGTGGGCCCGATTCAGTGATCCATGCTGAACCACTCATCTTTATTCAAGTACTCATCTTTATTCAATTCTTTAAAAAAAAAATCCGGTGTGAATGTGTACTGTGCTCCTGTATCCATGATCAAAACATCAGTAAATGTCCTGATATTGCTGCAAGGTACTGTGCCTGTATTGCCAACAGGAAAAAGAATGCCAACAAAGGGCAGCCTGAATAGTAACAACACCAATAGCAGCAGTCAAGATGGTCTACAGCAGGAGTGGGCAATTAATTTCTATAGGGGGGCACATGAAAAATCTGAACTATGTTCGGGGGCCAAACAAACTTTACTTAAAAATAAAATGAAACAGTGATGTTATGATTGCTTTTATTTTAAACTTGTTAATCTTCACAAATACTAAAGAGTTTTTTGTGGTATATTAAAGATAAGCAACTGTTCAACTTTAGACAAAAAGCTATAAATGGTTTTGATGTTCAAATTTGTCCGTGTGCCAGACAGGAGCGGCTTGCGGGCCGTATGTGGCCCTTGGGCCGCACTTTGCCCAGGTCTTGTCTACAGGATACCCTCTTGTGCTCACTACCATCACATCTGCAAAAAATAGCCCTGACAGCTGCTTTGTGTTCGAGTGAGAAGTGAAAAACAAGAGAGCCAGCTTCTGGGATTTTCCCATACTTTGTGTCACTTTGTGAATTACACTTTGCTTGGAGTAACTTTATGAATGTGGGATATTTTGCTTCTGTATTCACAATTCAAAATACCATCCCCTGACATTCTGAATTGTGGATACAGAAGCACAATATCCCACATTCATAAATCAGAGGTTTTTTGAAGAACTGAATTTCCTGCCTTTTAAAAACAGAAGTTTACATATACATACACTACACACATATTCCAATAGAATACTCCTGCAGTGCTACAGGAAAATGAGCACTATGATCTGTACTATGGTTGCTGAAAGAGGGAAAAAGCAAGAATAGCTGGGGTGTGGCTGCAGTCCCTCTGTGCCAATGTATTTTGAAGCGCTGTTTTTGGATTTAAATGATGGAGCAAAGGTGCTAGTAAGTGTAACACATACAATGGAGAAACAAACACACCCTTTAATTTCTCAGGTAAACTAATATTCCCATGCCCACTGTGCAGAATGCAGACTAGAAGGTTGTTCCAGTTTCTAAACCCTTTCCTTGGAGTAGGCAATCTGAGGAAAACAATGTATTACATCAAAAGCTCTAGAAACATGTTGCATGCATGTTTTCCAAAAGATGTCCCCTCACTTTTTGAATTTTTTTTAAAAAAAAGGGGGGGGAGAGCTGGGAGTTAGCAAAGATTGTTATCGGAAACCAAGGTCAAAATCATCCATACCACGTGGAAGAAAGTGAAGAGGGAAAAAGGATAAAAATCAACTCATTTGAAATGTGTTGTTGCAGGACAGCCTTAGAGCAGGGGTCAGGGAACATTTTTACCTTTTATCCCCCCAAAATTTATATATGTCAACATTATCCCCTTGATTCAAAAGGAAGGAAATCATACATTATTTGAATTAAAAATATTATTGAATCTACACAGGCTGTGTACCGAACTAGCAGGATGCACCAAATTTGATAAAGATGTGCACTACTTTTGCTGGAACACATTGCACTCCAGCCATGGTGTGGTGTAGGGAGTAGTAAGGTGTCCAACGTGCCTAGCAAGTTGCATAAAATATTTGCTAGCTCGCAGAAGATTTAATAATCATCAGTGGCTGCGAGAGTGGTGCTAGCAATGACATGCTTGCTAGAGACAGCCAACACAAAAGGGGGGGGGGGCTTTCCCTACCACTTTAATCATTCTATGTGTGGTCTGCAAAAAGGACCAAACCAGGCTAAAGGTCATGTCACCCACCCTGGTGCCACAGCCCAATATCAAAGGACCAGTGTGCTTTTTTAATCATCATCAATGGAAAACTCGGCAGTGGCCAGAGGACTGGAACAGATCAGTCGACATCCCAATCCCAAAGAAGGTAAGTGCCAAAGAATACTCCAACTACTGTACAATTGCACTCATTTCACACCCTAGCAAGGTTATGCTCAAAATCCTACAAGGTAGGCTTCAGCAGTATGTGGACCAAGAACTCCCAGAAGTACAAGCTGGATTTTGAAGGGGCAGAAGAACTAGAGACTAAATTGCGAACATGCGCTGGATTATGGAGAAAGACAGAGACTTCCAGAAAAACATCTACTTCTGCTTCATTGACTATGCAAAAGCATGGCAGAAAGCGATGAGGACTTAAGGAACC